TGGCTGTTTGTTTAAATACAGCAGCTGGGACTTCAGCCAGGCAAACTGGCAAATGTTGCCCAATATTGTCCAGTTGGCCAAACCCAAATCTCAATCTTAGTCAAAAGCACACGTTTTTTTCCTTGTAATTGTATTGGCCCATATATAACTGATCATTCAATTACGCCTATTTATTAAAAGAGTGCAAGCAGCTATTAAATATAGGATAAGTTCCCTTAAAAAAATAATAATAATAATAAAATGCACTTTTTTTGCAGGTAAAAAAAAGTGCATTTCCTATTTTTTTTGTAGGAGCCTGGAAAGCATTGCATGCCTTCCATGCAGGACTCCTAAAGACTGTCAGTGTAAGCTGTCTGCCCATATGTCATACAGGTAGGCAGTTTCACACTGACAGGAAGAATCAATGAACTACCACAGTGCTCAACAGTGCTCTGGTAGTTCATTGAGTACTACAAGTCGACAGCCACAAAGGTTGTCGGTACTTGCAGTTTTCCATTCACAGAACTGTGTGAATGAATTATGTGGACAGGTGGGTGGAGCCCCGCAAGGCTGTGTTTTTTTTTTTTTTTTAATTATGACAGCGAACGAGGGGTCAAAATAGTGGATAAGAGGGGTGTGTGGGGGCCGGTGCTACAGTAACATGTTACACCCTGAATATGAGTGTAACATGTAACATGTTATGAAGGGTGAACTAATCCTTTAAGTGTAACAATCCCAAAACCCATTAGAATCCTGTCTTCAGTAAATTAAATTAAGGATTATTCCTATGGATTACTAGACATTGCATTTAGCCCATTGCATTGCTTGCTTTTTTAGGGTTTTATGCTCTCCAGAAACAACTTTAACATGATTGTTTAGGAGTATTGTAGTGAGATAATATGAAGTATTGAATGGGATACATCTCCTGTTTCCTACCTGAACATACTCTACAAACCAACAGAGAACATAACTGAAGTTTTCAGGGGGGAGCTCAAATATATAAATGATAATTGCTGTTTGTAAAACAAAATATTAAATGTGTATATATTAGAGTAATTAATAAGTAATTATTAGACTTGCACCTTTCAATGTGCAGGCTGGTTTGCTCACAATTTACTATATATATTATATATATATATATATATATATATATATATATATATATATATATATATATACACAGTATATATTACTAACATTAATATATACATTTATATACTTTTAATGGTAGTTTCCCTCTGGAGTGAATGTATTGCCTTGTTACATATTTTATATTTTTTTTATGTACTAATCCATAATTTAGCATAATAATAACCTGCATGAGAGGTGAGTTTTTGATTGCAATCAGACCAGAGTAAATTTGGGTACTTGTCAGAGTCGACCAGCAGATGCAGATTAAATGTTATTCATCAAGATCATTTTGATGAATCTAACATATTTGAAGGGACTATAAAAACGGCATATGATGAGCTGATGAGTTTACTAGTTGTCTACAAGGCATATTTATAAACAAGTTTACAGGTTGTGTGAGCTTGATATTGGATTTAAGAAAAGGCTTCTGATTAAATTTATTGGTGACCCTAGAGCTGTTTGATCACTTTTATGTTGCTTTAAAAGAGGGATTCCCCCCCCCCCCCGCCTGTGGCACTGGCTGCACCTGCTTTGGTTCCTGAGCCCTCCTATTCCACTGGGGAGCTTAAGACCAAAGAAAAATGCTTTCCCAGAGTAAGCAGGAGGAACTTGGGGACATCTGTACCCAGATCCCTCTTACAACCAATGATTCTGGAAGATATATGTATTACATCACTTTTGGGGTCACAGCTGTCATTCCTTGGCTAGTATAGTAGAGGATGCAGCTATTCCAGCATGACCTATGCTGGAATAGTTGCATTGGAGGGAAGGGGAGACCTTTGGGTTCTAATAGACCTTTAAAGAGGATCTGTCACCTGCTCATGCTATCACATAAGGTGCTTACAAGACCCCAAGACCCCTATGTGCTAGCAATAAAGTAAACAAAAAAATTAGGAAACGTGTGAAAAAAAAGAATTGTATAAAAAAAAATAATAATTTACAAAAATGTAAAGCACCCCTACACACTCCATAAAAAAAGTTCAATGTCGGATGAGCACATGTATGTAACATCAATTGTACAACACGTTTGAGGTATCGTTGAGAACCTTGGCGTGAGAGCAAAAATTGTAGTTCAGAGTTATCTCTAATCTGATGGCTTGTAAATTGTTTTTCGCAATTACACAGGTGTTCATAATTTTTAGACTTGACATGTTTTGTATCTATTTATTTTATGCAACTCTATCTTTTATATTTAACCAAAAATTGGGTATAATATTGTGTGTGTCTGCTCTACATTTCATTTTAGTGTATTTTTTCCTTTTTTTTTTTTGCATTTGATAAATAACTTCACAAATATCATAGAACATAAAGCATTGCAACTACTACCAGAATACTCTGCAGGGTCTCTGCTTTCAGAAAACATACTTTTTGAAGGCTTTACAGTAATTTCTAGCAAAAAGCAGATTTTAACATGTATGCAAAAAATGAAAAGAATTGTCCTGATAGACAGGTAGTTAAAATATGGACCTTTGATGAATCAAGCAAAATGGGTGCTATAGAGGTAAAACAATGTTGAAAGAAGAATGACTTGTACCACTTTTGAACAGACCTTAATCATCAGCATGTCATTGAAGTACAACCAATCACATAACCACTTATAGGCACAAAAAATTCTATGTCAACTGCTTTGTAAGTTATTATAAATAACATAATTTTATTAAACACATACTGTACCAACAACACATGATTAGAATCCTTTCAAACAAAAAACAATACCACATCTCCCTTCTCTTATATTTTCAATACATACTTGAACAATTAACTGATATGGTAGACTCTGTTTTAGGAAATGCACATTTCCCCAGAGATTATATCAGATCTTAGCAGCATATAAAATAAAGCACATAATGCATAAACATTTACTCACTGAATTTATATTCCTTTTCACACACCTCAATAATTTGATAAAAAATATGTGAATATGTCTACATATGTACAGTGGGGCAAAAAAGTATTTAGTCAGCCACCAATTGTGCAAGTTCTCCCACTTAAAAAGATGAGAGAGGCCTGTAATTGGCATCATAGGTAGACCTCAACTATGAGAGACAAAATTAAAAAAAAATCCAGACAATCACATTGGCTGATTTGGAAAGAATTTATTTACAAATTATGGTGGAAAATAAGTATTTGGTCAATATCAAAAGTTCATCTCAATACTTTGTTATATATCCTTTGTCGGCAATGACAGAGGTCAAACGTTTCCTGTAAGTCTTCACAAGGTTTGGCACACACTGTTGCTGGTATGTTGGCCCATTCCTCCATGCAGATCATCTCCTCTGGAGCAGTGATCTTTTGGGGCTGTCGCTGGGCAACACGGACTTTCAACTCCCTCCAAAGGTTTTCTATGGGGTTGAGATCTGGAGACTGGCTAGGCCACTCCAGGACCTTGAAATGCTTCTTATGAAGCCACTCCTTCATTGTCCAGGTGGTATGTTTGGGATCATTGTCATGTTGGAAGACCCAGCCACATTTCATCTTCAATGCCCTTGCTGATGGAAGGAGGTTTGCACTCAAAATCTCACGATACATGGCCCCATTCATTCTGTCCTGTACGTGGATCAGTCGTCCTGGTCCCTTTGCGGAGAAACAGCCCCAAAGCATGATGTTGCCACCCCCCATGCTTCACACTATGGTTTGGTGTTCTTTGGATGCAACTCAGCATTCTCTCTCCTCCAAATACGACGAGTTGTGTTTCTACCAAACAGTTCTATTTTGGTTTCATCTGACCATATGACATTCTCCCAATCCTCTTCTGGATCATCCAAATGCTCTCTAGCAAACTTCAGATGGGCCCGAACATGTACTGGCTTAAGCAGGGGGACACGTCTGGCACTGCAGGATCTGAGTCCCTGGTGGCGTAGTGTGTTACTGATGGTAGCCTTTGTTACGTTGGTCCCAGCTCTCTGCAGGTCATTCACTAGGTCCCCCGTGTGGTCCTGGGATTTTTGCTCACCGTTCTTGTGATCATTTTGACCCCACGGGGTGAGATCTTGCGTGGAACCCCAGATAGAGGGAGAATATCAGTGGTCTTGTATGTCTTTCATTTTCTAATTATTGCTCCCACAGTTGATTTGTTCACACCAAGCTGCTTGCCTAATGCAGATTCAGTCTTCCCAGCCTGGTGCAGGTCTACAATTTTGTTTCTGGTGTCCTTTGACAGCTCTTTGGCCTTCACCATAGTGGAGTTTGGAGTGTGACTGTTTGAGGTTGTGGACAAGTGTCTTTTATACTGATAACAAGTTCAAACAGGTGCCATTGATACAGGTAATGAGTGCAGGACAGAGGAGCCTCTTAAAGAAGAAGGTACAGGTCTGTGAGAGCCAGAAATCTTGCTTGTTTGTAGGTGACCAAATACTTATTTTCCACCATAATTTGCAAATATATTCTTTCCAAATCAGCCAATGTGATTGTCTGGATTTTTTTTTTTCTCATTTTGTCTCTCATAGTTGAGGTCTACCTATGATGCCAATTACAGGCCTCTCTCATCTTTTTAAGTGGGAAAACTTGCACAATTGGTGGCTGACTAAATACTTTTTTGCCCCACTGTATATTGATCCTCCAGCCGCACCTCATAAATAAGTAAAATTATTTCCAATTCATTGTTTAGCACACCATGTAAAGTGCAAAGTGCTATATACCATCATAAAAAGTTAAGTCATTATTGCTGTGAATATATAGTTCTCACTGTGAAAAAAATTTAACCTCAAACAAATGGACACTAAGCAAAGTTATATTTTGTCAGAGAAACTGGAGAAATGTACAAATGTATTATTATGAAGTCTTGTTCATGACAGTTTTCCTTTGTGTTTATAAATATGCAGCATTGATTTTTTTTTTCTATCAAAAATTGTTAAATTGTTTTTATTAATTTTTTTCTTTTTTTTTTTTAGACTGTGTCAGTTTCTGTTTCTGTGTTAACACTCAGTTGCATCGCCCTGGATAGATGGTATGCAATTTGCCATCCATTAATGTTTAAAAGTACTGCCAAGAGAGCAAGAAATAGCATTATAATTATTTGGATTGTGTCCTGTGCTATTATGATTCCTCAGGCCATTGTTATGGAGTGTAACAGTGTGTTTCCAGATTTAGCCAACAAAACAATTTTATTCACTGTCTGTGATGAGCGCTGGGAAGGTAAGTGACTAATTACTTAGTTATTCTAAGCATTGTAAGTACTTTTATTTTATTATTTTTATCAGTCTAATATTTTCTGAGTTATATACTGCAAAGTTAAAGGAATGAGATATAAACAAAAAATAAAAAAATATTTTATCATATTTCAGATTTAAGTTAATAGCAGGCAGCATTTGCTGTTAGGGAGTTAGTTAGGAAAAGAATGCATAGGTAGATAGCTTTCTCCTTCTGCAGCAGTTGTGACGGTACTTCATATCAGCATCCAATGTAAAAAATGTCCAGGAAAATATGTCCGATGTCCCAGAAAGAGGGCAATGGCAGGAGATGTGTTTGCTAAACATTTTAATCCTGCTGTAAGACAGTCAAGCATTTGAGAGTTTCAATTTATGGCAGATTGTAGTGACCACCAGTTTTTATGGGTCAATATTATCATTAATACAAGTATACAGGCTCTGTTGGCAATGACCTTCCACTACTGTACTGCTAAATCACTTGTCTGAGAAGGTTTACATTTGTCCAGGTCCTGGTATAACTTGTAGTAGTTGTCAGTCACATTTTGCTGGGCTTGCTCAGTGATGTTGAAATGTTTTGTAGCTTATCCAAGCCACTTTTTTTGAACTTTATAGACCTATAATGTCTATTCGCACAATGAGGCACAGATACTTCACACACAAACAAATCACTATAGATTTGTAAAGTCAAATGTTGTTTGTCCAAGAACAAGATGAAAGTTGTAAAAGCAACCTGTTTTAGGTAACTAAATCCACCCTTGGTGTCATGTAGTCTATGCAAGGGTTATTCCTTAAGCTGGGCATGCATTAGTACAATGTTGTTTGACATTTTTCATTGTAAGAATGTTGTAAATATACTTGTCTTTTTAATCATTAGTGAGGTCAAATTGACATTCATTTTTGACTGCAGTGACAAGAACATTTGAAAGAACAGAACGCAAAACATTTCTCAAGTTTGAGAAGTGGTTCAATTTTAAACTGTGTAAGGGATTCCTTACTGTTAGAGCAGCAAGAATGTGGAATTATCTTCCACAGTTGATGGTGTGACGGGCACGGTGTCAGACCCCAGCCCTTCTCACCAAACTCATGACCGAAGGACTAGCCAATCTAAAACCTGTCACGTGCGTAACAATGCCATGCCCAGCTGCACCCTGCACAACAATTTTCCAGCTAATTGGACACAATCTATGTACCGGCACCCTGGGAGCGATTGTTATTGCGTCAGGTTAAATTCTCAATTAACCCTTCATACTGCCACCACCTCCTTTTTATACAGAGAAAGAGGAAACTCAGCAATACACTAGGGTGATTGGTTAATCGACAGTATACCACTATCTCTACAGACCAGTTATACAGAGGGTTAAACACTTATAGTAGCGCTCTTTTTAGAGGCAGGGATTCATAAATTGCAATTAAGAGCTATAGAAACAATTCAACACTTTCAGAAAGTAAGATTTATTACCAAAAGGTTAAAAGGGTGCAGTACGAATATTTACAGAAAGAAGATGTAACCAATATATATATAAAAATATACAGAGCACAACAGCACAGCAAACAGATAACAGAAAGAAGTTTAGGTAAATAAGTACTTGCCAAATAAATGCCTGGGGTTAAGCAGTTTCCAGTCTGGTGAGCTAAAGAAGGGATTTCTGGTCTTGCAATTAGTTGCGATGGTCCAACAAGACTCTTGGTCAGCTAGATGGTACAGAGCCGACAGACTTCACTTTTCTGACTGAACCCAACAGAAAAAAAAACCTCTTCTTTTCTAAGACAAACTCAACTGCAATCTTTCTATCACGGCCAAGCCAATACCTTATTGGAAAAAGAATTGTTAGGCAGGACTCAGCATCATACGCTGCTTGCATTCCTGAGGGAGGGGAATGAGGAGATACATGAAACCTTCTTAATACAGCGAGAACCTGTGCCTGCCTCTTATATGCACGATATTACACCTTCAGGTGTTTGCATAGGAGTCCAAGAAAAATACCGCAATGCAGAAACCTGGAGCAAAATGGAGAACTGCACCTCTTCCTGTGTGCATGATTGTGACAGATGGTGTCACACACATACACACACACACACACGATGTGCCAGTGTCTTTATTCAATCTTACCAACTATATAACTTTATCTACATGCAATGCACTGTAGTGAGGAATGCAAAGACCTGTACATTGGGGAGAAAAAACATTCTCTCAACAAATGAAACATAATAAGGCAAATTCTCTAGGTCACAACTCAGTAGTTTTCCATAAGGAAATATGAGGTGCACATTTGTAGACATGGAGCACAACTGGTTCGCAGAGGTATGAAAGAGGCCATCAATGTCAAAGTGGAAAAACAATCCTGATTGTTACTAATTACCACTAACTGACAATTATTTGTAATATTGAAAGTCTCTTTCATCCTCTTCAATCATTTGTCTTAATTACAGTTGTTCAAACATGTGTACTGTACATGTAAAAATAACCCCTGAGTATGGATTAACTTTTTCTCACTAAAACACACTTTGCAGAGTTCAGCTTTCCGTTCAGAGAATATTATATATTGTGAGCTTAGTAAGGGAACGTATAATTTTTGTTCTGGTCTAATGTACAGTAGAGTAGAGTAGAAAATATTTTTTTCATATTTTGCAGTTACTGCATAGCTATCTGACTTGCCTTGCTGCTACCAACAATTTTGGACTCTGAAAAATACATAAGATGTATGGATAGATCTGTAGGTGCAAGATAGTGAAACAGTCTACAGATACATAGTACACTGTAATGGCACTGGCATAGGACCAGAGCCACCATGAACTGAGGTGGCAAGGCCAACAGAAGAGCAGAAGTACTTTGGTTTGATTACAATCACCCACAGTATAATCATCTTGAGAGTTAGTTCCATAAGTACATTAGTGCTACCCTGCCTCCTTACGAGTTAGTGAAGAATCCTCAAAGACTAAGGGAAGAAACCCCTTACAAAAAATAAATGTGGGTGGGAAACGTAAAGCATGGAAACCATCCACCTTAGATAAGCATATACCCAATTTAGACTGCAGGTTGCAGGTTGATGAGTCTATCCATGGCATGTAAGTAAACATGCTTCACGGGGCTCCCTGCATTAATCCTATAATTGCTCCTTTCCTGGGCCCCTCTACAACTTCTAACTAGCACCATCAGCCTCAGAACAGCCTTAGAATCTCGTTGGTATTGTTCACTTGCCTTTCATTTGCAGAATAAAAGATAAAAGTCCATCCATTTCCACCTTAAAAAAAAAAAAAAAAGTTATAATCCTACACCCACAGTTGATCCAGAGGAAAGCAAAAAAAAAAACAGAAAAGCATGATCCAATTTTCTCCTTCCTTCCTGATACCCCTGAGACAATTGGATATTCACTGGATCAACTTTAAAATATTAGTAACCAGTTATATTCTGTGTATCCAAGAAAGAAGTTAGGCCTTTTTTAAAGCAATCCACTGAGCTGGCCAGAACCAACTCTTGTAGGAGTCTATTCCACATTTGCATGGCTCTTACTGTGAAGAAACCTTTCTGTATTTGGAAATTAAATTTATTTTCCTCCAGTCGTAAAGAGTGCCCCCTTGCCCACTGTGATGACCTCAAGGTGAATAACTATACACCTAGTTCACTATATGAACCACTGATGTATTTATGCATGTTGATCATATCCCCCCTTAATCTCCTCTTCTCAAGAGAGAATAAATTCAGTTCCTCTAATCTTTCCTCATAGCTGATCTCCTCCATGCCTCCTATCAGTTTTGTTTCCCTTCTCTGTACTTTCTCCAGTTCTCCATAGCTCTTTTTGTGAATTGGTGCCCAAAATTGAACTGCATATTCCAGATGAGGTCTTACTAATGATTTGTACTGGGGTAATATGATATCTCTCTCTCTGGAGTCTTTACCTCTTTTAATACGAGAGAGGATTTTGCTCACTTTAGAAACCACAGCTTGGCATTGCATGCCATTATTAAGCTTGTGATCTACCAGAATTCCCAGATCCTTCTCCACTAAGTGCAGAACCTTACATTTATCCTTCCTAACCTACACTTCCTCCTTTCAAGCCTACTTTGTTACCCCCATTAATACCTTCTCCTCCAGTCCTCGCCGCCTCTTCTCTACTTTTAACTCCCTCCTTTCTCCGCCCCCACCTCCACCCAGTACCTCATTCACCGCCCACGAGATTGCTAACCACTTCAAAAACAAGATCGACGCAATTTGTAGGGACATCACCACTGCTCAAACTTCCACCTCACCTAGCATCCCACACACTAAAACCCCCTCAACACACCACTCCTTTGACCTCGCCACTGCTCAGACTTCCACCCCACCTAGCATTCCTCACACTAAAACCCCCTCAACACTCCACTCCTTTGACCTTGCTACCACTGATGAGGTCACTAAGGTCTTCTCTGAAACCCGCCTCACCACCTGCCCCCTTGACCCTGTCCCCTCACAACTCCTACGATCATCCTCTTCCTCCATCCTACGCTCCCTCACACACATCTTTAATCTTTCCCTCTCTACTGGCACATTCCCCTCCCCTCTAAAACATGCGCACATCACTCCCATACTTAAAAAACCCTCCCTGGATCCCAACGACCTGAACAACCTTAGACCCATCGCCCTGCTGCCATTTACATCCAAACTCCTAGAGTGCCTAGTCTATAATCGCCTGAGTTCCCACCTCACTGACAACAACCTCCTTGATCCCCTACAGTCTGGCTTCCGCCCCCTACACTCCACCGAAACTGCCCTACTCAAACTCACCAACTACCTGCTCACCGCCAAAGCTAATGGCCACTACTCAGTGCTCCTACTCCTGGACCTCTCTGTGGCTTTCAACAGGGTTGACCACCCCCTCCTCCTCAAAAAACTACACTCTCTTGGCCTCCGAGACTTCGCTCTCTCCTGGCTCTCTTCCTATCTATCACAATGCTCCTTCAGTGTTACCTATAACACCTCCTCTTCACTCCCCCTCTCTGTTGGGGTCCCTCAAGGTTCTGTCCTCGGGCCCCTTCTCTTCTCCATCTACACCTCCTCCCTTGGCCAACTGATGCACTCTCACGGCTTCAACTACCATCTCTATGCCAACGACACGCAAATCTACCTCTCTACCCCTCACCTCACCCCTTCAGTCTCCGCCCGTATCACAAGCCTACTGAGTGACATATCGGATTGGATGTCACTCCACTTCTTCAAACTAAATCTCTCCAAAACTGAGCTCCTAGTTTTCCCCCCAGCCCTCGCCCCCCCCCCCCCAACTTCTCCATCAAGACCAACAACACCAACATCAGTCCCTACCCTCAAGCCAGAATACTAGATATCATCCTAAACTCCAATCTGTTCTTCCAGCCCCAGGTCCAATTGCTGACAAACTCATGTAGACTTCACCTCTGCAACATCTCCAAAATACGTCAGTTCCTAACCCCGGACACCACTAAGCAACTCATTCTTTCCCTCATTATATCACGCCTTGACTACTGTAACTCCCTCCTCATCAGCTTACCCCACCGCAGGCTATCCCCGCTTCAGTCTATCTTGAATGTTGCGCCCAGACTCATCCACCTTATTAACCACTCCGTATCCGCCACCCCTCTCTGCCAATCCCTCCACTGGCTCCCGATTGCCCAGTGGATAAAATTCTGAATGCTAACATTGATCTATAAAACTGTTCATAATACTGCCCCAAACTACATCACCAATCTGGTATCCAAATACCACCCAAAACTCATTCTCTCCGCTCCTCACAAAACCTCCTACTCTCTAGTTCCCTGGTCTCCTCCTCCCATGCTCGTCTCCAGGGCTTCCCGCATCCTCTGGAACTCCCTACCCCAATCCATCAGACTATCACCTACTCTACTTGCCTTTAGGCGCACTCTGAAAACCTATCTCTTCAGGGAAGCCTACCCCACCCTCAGCTAATTACTGAACGCCTCTACTCTTCCTACCACTCCATCCCCCACAGCTATTTCCTCCTGTACCACTATCCCCTCCCTCCTAGACTGTAAGCTCCAATGAGTAGGACCCTCGAACCCCTCGTATATTGAATCATATTGTTACTGTACTGTCTCCTATACTGTCTCCCATTATAATGTACAGCGCTGAGCAAACTGTTGGCGCTATATAAATCCTGTATTATAATAATAATAATAATAATAATAATTTATCAACATTATAGCCACATAGTTGCCTAATTAAACAGTGCATTGAGGTCAGCTTGTAAGTTGGGGACATCCTGTAAGGACATTATTCCACTGCACAGCTTGGTGTCATCTGCAAAGAATGAAATGGTATTTGAAATCCCAGACCCTATATCGTTTTTATAAATATATTAAAAAGTAAGGGTCCCAACACTGAGTATTGGGGTACACCACTGACAAGCCTAGACCATTCAGAGTATGAATCTTTAACCACTACGATCTTTTAACCAGTTTTCTGTCCATTTACATACAGATTTTTCCAAGCCTGTAGACATTACCTTACACATTAGCCTTGTGTGGGGAACTGCGTCAAATGCTTTTGCAAAATCCAAGTATACCACGTACACCGCCACCCCTCTGCCCAAGATTTTGCTCACCTCCTCATAAAAAGAAATCAGATTTGTTTGACAACTTCTGTCTTTCATGAATCCATGCTGTCTGTGGTATGGCTGCAGCTCTGCCTCAGCATGCTCCACAAAGTACAGACAAGCCAAAAGACAGTAAGCCAGGTAAGTACTCCCACCCAGCTGGGAAGGATAATAAAAGGGACATTCTTTATTACCCCCAAAACATGACAGGCACACAAGGGCAAGGCTCATCAGAGAAGGCTGACAATACCTCAGACATGCAGCTGGACTCTGCACAGGTTATAAGCCTAGACTCGGTTGCTATCTTGCTCCCTGGCATTGAGCAATCTGCTAGCGCTGCGGATCTTATTGAAGGAGATGATTAACCCACACTATAGGAGATCCTAAGTTCTGTGTGTAAGTGTGCTGCTTTAGTCAATTCAGTTGATGGAAGGAGAAAGTTTAATTACTACGGCATGACAAGAATTACAGGAGCAAACTAGTGCGGCTGAAAGTTGCATTAGTGACCTAGAAGATAAATTACCTTTATTGTTTGCTAAAACTCGTTCTACGGCTCGCCTGTCCCACAGCAAAAACCAAATGACATTGAAAATAGCCTGAGGCTGAACAATATTCACATAGTGGGCCTGACCGAATGTACAGAGGGCAGGGACCCCACTTATTTTATTGAAAAAAATGACTTCTTGATATTTTTGGTAGAGATGCTTTTGCCTCCTTATTTGCGGTAGAACGAGTCCACTGCACACCCATGAGAGTCTTGCCTGGAAACTCACCCAGATCCATTTTAGCTTGTCAAGATTCAGAACGGGTGTTATGCCTGGCTAGAGGACATCCCAATATACAATATAATGGGTTGAAAGTTTCCTTCTACCCCAATTTCTTCTCGCAATGTAGCATAAAAGAGCAAAATTTCTAGATGTCAAACAACGGTTGCAGTGCTTAAAAATACAGTACGGCATGCTCATCCTATTCATTTGAGAATTATTGCTAAGGGTCAGATGCACTTCTTCAACACAGCTAAGCTACAGAGGCAGTGGAATGGCTAGATGTCAAGGAGTCTTCCTTGTGGGCACAGAAACTGGATGATGCAGAGGTTTAACCCTTCACTTTCTGCTTACTGGCGAGTGGGAAAACTCATTTGATCGTTTGCAAGGAGAGGTCTGAGTAGCAGAGGAATCATATGCTTGGAGGATCTGATGTTGGGATCCCATAAGTGTTTTGATCCTTACAGGTCGAAGCAATAAGGTGAGAGGCTAATCTTGCCACTTTTGGATCTTGTTTGTGGTTACCCACAGTCTCCATACACAGGCACGAGTGTTCATCTGGGTTTGGATAAAGTGGTGCGGATAGCACCATTTTGGACTTTGGTTCTCATATTTGTCGTGTGTTATTCCTTGGTGTGCGGTTTGCCGCACACTTGAAGCTTTTTTTCCACTATTGCATATTATATGTTTTTTTCTTCGATTTGCATCTTGAGATCTGTATAGATATATCACCTAATACGTGATTATCATATCATATTTTGCATTCTTTATATGCACATTTGTTTGTCACTTGCATGTTTATGCGTTTATTTTGCAGCTGAGTCCATATTTATGCGGGACCTTTAAGTCCCAGTGGCACTATTATTCACCACCACCATTCTATCCTGCGTAGGATTTATTCACTTTTTATATTTATTTTATTGTATATATGGTTCCACATATGGCTTATTGTTATTTGTGTGGTTGTGCATTTTTCACTTCTTCATTCACTTGCTGATCCAATTAGGATCATATCACGATTGAGATACTTGATAAAGACCCCATGAGGATCTTATCACATGGTTTTTTGTTTGCACATTGTCTCACTGTATATAATGTCTCCACTTTTTTGATTATACTAATTTAAATATGTGAATTATGGATTGTGAGTAGCTCAACATCAGTTTGTTTCTATTAAATTTTCCAACCGTCAACAAAGAGATATCAGTAAAGAAGTTACAAAGCTGGTGAATGAGGCTATGGCCCCAAAGGTCCAGTACATATTTTAAATCTCATTCCCAATGCTGATGTATCTAGAGGCAGCTTACGGGTTCCTACTCTTCCATGTGTTTGAAACAATTGTTCTATCAGAATTGTTGAAGTCTGTTGTTAAAAAATAAGGGGTCTTTTAATTTGTTGTCACTTAGAATTCACACAACGTTCACTCAAGTTTCACACATTTTTCTAATAGAATGCAATAGGCAAATGTGTGAATCAAAGGTTAATATTGTGTGAATCTTGGGTGAAAACATTTATAAATAGACCCTTATATGTTTTCTCCCCTGAACTTATGTATATTTCACTTTTTTTTTTTAGGTGAAATTTACTCCAAAGTTTATCACATATGTTTCTTCTTCATAACTTATATGGTTCCGTTATGTCTGATGATTTTAGCCTATTTGCAAATTTTTCGAAAATTGTGGTGTCGGCAGGTGAGATTTTGTTATTTTTAAATATGTGTCTATTGAAAAGGTAATGTTTCTATAAAGAAAAGAAAACAGATTAGTGTAAAATCCTTATTTTAACAAAATGCATTTAATATCAGTGATGAGCTTTCAGTGCAAAAATAAGTCAAAGGACTAGCTTTCGATCACATGATTGCTGCGATAGCCTGTGGTCAGTAACTGTACAGGCGGCCTTTGAACTTTCTCTCCTCTTGAATAAGATGCATTGGGTTCCATCCACTAAAGCAGATTGTAAGCGGCATTTAGGTGATCTGACACATTTTTCCCAAATATTGCAAGCGATGACAAAAATGTGAAACCAAAAAGTTTCCAGAAATACTGCATAAGACGGCTTTAAAGTCAATTCACTAAAGGAAAAAAATCGGTTAAGTAAGTAGTGGTCCAGGCATGCAATATTGAAGGAATGTAAAGATATATTAGCTAATTTGGAGTAGATTTTACCTTTATGGATCAGTGGTCTCGCAACAGTAATGCATAGAAGCCAAAATAAGGATAAAAAGACAGAAATGTTACATTTAGTAAAATATATCTATTTTCATCAGTCATTTCGCTAGATTTTTAGACTTTTTCATGTATATATAAGCATATACTGTATTTTCTGCATAAACCACCCAATCACTCCAAACATAATACAATGTACATGCATATTACAATGGTCTAATCCAGGGTCCTTAAACTACGGCCATTTATCCGGCCTGCCAGCAGGGGCGTATTTGCCGCGAGGAAGGGACACTAATTACAGGGGCGGGCGGGGGGCTGCTGTATCTTACCTGGCTCCATGTCCCAGTCCCACGACAATCCAGTCCAGGAAGCGCTGCTCTTTCATTCACTCTGGCCAGCATGTGTGTTTATTTTTCACTCCCCTTTTTTTGTTAATGGGCAGCGGTACTATGCACTCTTTTCACATTCATGTGGTGGAAGGGCAGTATTTGGGGGCCCCATTTTTAAAATTATTTTAAAGGCGGCACCCAAATTCTGATAAGCTCATAGATTCCCACAACCATGGGTCCAGGGTTGTGGTGAAGATGCCCTTGTCCTCATCAATAAGAGGGTCTCCAAGGCAGTGCCCACCCCCTGCTATTTCACAATCCCTTGCCTATTAGCATAGAAAATGATCATTAACTTTTTTTGGGCTCCCATTTACTTCAATACATTACATTTGATCCAGGTGGGCAAAACAGTGATAAAAAAGCAAAAAGCAAACACAATCATGGGATGTGTTAAAAAAATATATAATAATTAGTGATGATAATAGCCTCATAAAAGGCCACATGTATAAAATAGGGTAAAGCATCAAATCCCATATTCAATAAGAACATAGATAGTTTAGAAAGTGTTTTAAGAACCCCAAGTAAATTAACCTCTTAATGCTGGGCCTCCCAGCACTTTAAGGGGTTTCTGATGCAGGGAGGCAGGGCGGGGTTTATGAACATGTGACCATTATGATTGGCTGTCACAGTAGTCACAAACTCCTGATCCCAAGTAGGGACCGGTAACTGTTTCAGGAGCACATGCCTCTTGGCATCAATACCCACCTGCTGTGAGGCCGCATATGTGCATACTTTCATTCACTCGCAATGTAAAGCTGTCATCACTTGCATTGTCCAGCAATGCAGATCCTCATCAATCATGATGAACAGTGCCCAACGCCCAGTGAAACAAAATCCCAATAAGACCCACATAATGCATCAGCTCCCTGTTCCTACAAATGACAGTTTCCCTGCTGACAGTTGAAATCTCAACAAAGACAGGGTAATGTTTGAGATGGCACGACCAAATATTGACAAAACTTATTTGGTTAGCAATGTCAGTTATCCCTTGTCCCCTTGATTACATTTCAGCTGTCACTGGAGAATGCCAGCTGACAAGTGAATATGCAGGGGGATAAGTCATGGTTGTTAGGAAGTTGGTGGCTGCTGGTACTGGTGCTCTGTGAAAGTTGTCATATTTAAGCAGAAAGGGGTTTTGTCTGAACCTGAGGCCTATCCCTAATGACAGTATACACATGGGTATAGTTCCACCCTCTACCCAACCTAACCACAGGACTGGTTATACTATAAATGAAACACCCACCAAAAGGCAGTATTCTCATTCTTTTAGGCTGGTATTCCAACTGCACACTGCTGTTCAGAAAATAATAAAAGCTGCGCAGAAGCTTGTGGGCTTTTTAGGTTAGTTTCTTTAAACAAAAATTACAAGCCCTATTGTGTTAGCAGGAAAGGCAAAATAGTAAATGACCTGTCCCACCCTGGAAACTATCTTTTTAAATTACTGCCACCTGGCAGGAGGTTCAGAAAATATAAAGGTGAGGACAAACCCAATCAAGGAAAGTTTCTTTCCAAGGCCCTAAATGGTTATTTCTAATAATATTATCTAGCTTTAAGTGACTTGGCTTGTTATTGTGGTAGGTGCTCCTTTTAGGTTTTTATATGGGGCATAATGTTCCCATGAGTGTATGTTCAGGATGTTGTATGTTCTCATATGTGTGGAGTTTTTATAGAATTTCATTGTAATTTGCGTTACAATGATAATAAGGTATTTTCTCCTTAAGATAAGATAAGATGATTCGTCTCGTCATAACTATGCTCAGTGCAAAACCCTGCAGGGTAATGATTAAGTATTTTATTCAACAAACATATCATTAGCTTAATTTACAACTGAAAAATCAATTTCCACTGTGGTCAATACTGTAATAGGCTAGAATTGTGCCATACATGGAGGTTGCTGCCCTGCAGATTAATTCTGGAAATACACCTCTGAATTCTGCCCTTGTGGATCCCTCTGGTAGAGTGGGCCTTGAGATTAATTATTGGATCCATCTTTCACCATATAAAACCTCTGAATTACCTTGACCAGCCATGATGCAAGTGTCTTGGTGGATGATGAAAGCCCCTTTCTAATACCAAAAGGAATGATGAACAGCTATCCTGACCTTTTAAAAGAGGAGGTCATTCCTCCCAAATTTAACGGATGTGGTGAATCATATGTTTAAACAAGGAATGCTAGAGGAAAGATGTCCTCACTCAGATTAAAAGATCTGCAGAGATTTGAACAGTGCAGGGGGAAAGGTCTTGGAACTACCCTGCTTGGAAAATGGCGGCAATAAGGTAGTTTACAGCTCATAACACAGACATCTGAGACACTTTGTTGCATTGGTGCAGTTGAGGCTTCTTTCTGGCAAGTCAACCATGCAGCTCATTTTTGTTCAAGTATTGTCGTATTATGCTCCTTAAAAACAACCACACCATCTTTGTCCAGAGCAGCCTGCTTTTCTCCCAAGATTACCTGTGAGTTTTTATTTGTATCCCAAACAATTCTTTAGGCAGTTGTGGCTGCAATCTCTCATGGTCTAGCTCACCTTAGCTTGGTATCAAGAAATCCTTGAATCTGCAATTTCTTAATAATTGATTGAACAGTACTGACTGGCATATTCAAAGCTTTCCATATCTTTTTCTATAATTGTCTATCTTTATAACGTTCCATTACCTTGTTACGCAGATCTTTTGACAGTTCTTTTCTGCTCCCCACTGCTCAGTATCTATTCTTCTTAGTGCATCCACATGAGAACTAACAAACTCATTGACTAATATATGCATACACTAATTGCAATTTAAAAAGCCACAGATGTGTGAAATTAACTTTAATTGCCATTTTTAACCTGTGTGCAGCACCTTGATTGTCTGTACCAATGCCAAACATTCCAGGGTATGTAAACTTTTGATCAGGGCCATTTGGTGATTTCTGTTATAATTATGATTTAAAAAGGAGCCAAACAACTATGTGACAATAAATGGCTTCATATGATCACTATTCTTTAATAAAGGTTTTTTTGGCATAATCTGTCATATTTTCAATGTCAATGCTAAAATGTCATGATTTTTCCCAGGGTAGGAAATCTTTTGAGCACAACTGTATATTATATTTCCTGATTTGTTTCTTCTTGCTTATGAATAAGAAATAATAGAAACCTTGAAATGTTTCTGAATGGGAAATACATGTATAGAAGGCTTTCTTTCCAACAACGTTTGGATATACTGCATATGGTGCTTTTGCCTGGAGCTTTTGCTTGCCCAGAGAAACATTGGTGGGAATTAAATGGATTGGAGGAGAAGAAAAAACCCAACAATGGCCTTCTTGAACTATTGACAGAACCCATGGATCCTAAACATGCTCTGCATAAACTTTTGTGAATTCCCACAACCTGGCACTTACTACGCAAATTTGGGGAGAGAAACACTCAGAAGGGGTTTGCTGCTCTTGGTGGGAAGGAGTGGACTTAGATTTAGACAAAGAAAAGATGATTGTTCATTTCTCTGCTATAGCCTTCCCAGGCCTATAAGACTTACCATTAGTAAATATTTTGTTTCCTTGCTTTCTGTCCTTTGCTGTATTTGCATCAGGAATTATTCCCAACTTGCCCCCCTTACTCCAGCACATTACTGAACAGGGAGGAACAAACAGAATTCTGTACCAGTTTGAGGTGTTTTCAGTCCATGCCTTAAGCCATGAGGATCCTCTGGCCATAACAGACTAGAACATGGCTCTAGGGGAACAGCATATTGCATCTATAGCTGCCTCTCCAGTGGAGTCACCGGCCATCTTAATTTGACCCAGTGACCCAGTGATTTAATCAGCAGCCAAAAGGTCAGTTTCTACTTTTTCCACACAGACATAAATTGCCATGGCTATAGAAATGAGTGACAGTGCTGGCCTAGATGCACTATCTAAAGTAGTATAAATCTTTTTTAGCTCCATATCCATTCTCTGTCCCAGGCATTGCTAAAAGATATTGCATCATCCATTGGTGGGGTTTTGTGTCTGGCTAGTCTGATTACTGGTACACCGACTAAAACCAAAACAGTAAGTTTCATCTTCATCTTTGAATAGATACAGTTTAGCAAACCTATTTGAAAGAGATCCATTCTTTAATTTCTTCCATTAGAAGAAATGGTAGAAAAGCTTTTCTG